CATATGCAAACTTGGCAAGCATATTTAAAGCCCAAAATGTAGTTATATAATATGATTTTATTGGTTCAGAGTGGCAAATCGGCTCAATAGCGCCCCTACAAAATTTCGGCGAAGCAGCCCTCGCAGTATGTTTGACCTAGATGTATGGAATTTGGGAGGAACATGTATCACATGTGGACTTAAATAAAAGTCTCTTGGGGCCATGCTCTAAACCCAACCGGAAGTCAGCCATTTTGAATTATTTATGAATTTCTAGTGTCGTTTATGTCATTTCCAGGTGCTGCACTTTAACGAACTCCTCCTAGGGAATTAATCAGATCAACTTCAAATTTGGTCGGTACAGTCTAAAGACCTTTGTGATGAAAAGTTACTCAAAGCTTGTTATTTCGTGAAAAGCTGTTGCTGTGGCGACACATTCTTCACCATGACAAATTAAGGTGTTTTTGAGAGGCTAGAAATACTCGCAACATAAGCAAACTTGGCATACACATTTAAAGCCCAAAATGTAGTTATATGATATGCTTTTATTGGTTCAGAGTGGCAAATCGTCTCAATAGCGCCCCCTACAATATTTCGACAAAGCAGCCCTCGCTGTACGTTTCACATAGATTTACAAAATTTGGTAGGCACATGTATCACATGTGGACTTAAAATAAAGTCTCTTGGGACCATGCTCTAAACCTAACCGGAAGTCAGCCATTTTGAATTTTGTATGAATTTCTTGTGTTTTTTTCCATTTCCAGGTGCTGTACTACGAACTCCTCCTAGGGAATTAATCCGGTCAGCTTAGAATTTGGTCAGAACAATCTAAAGACCTTAGTGATTAAAAGTTACTAAAAGCTTTAGGTTTCATCGAATGACATGGATATGGTGTGACGGCCATTTTACATGGTTCGCCATCATCCATCAAGCTGTTGTAACTCGACTGTACTTTGTCAAAACTGTCCCAAACTTGACATGCTTGTTGACTGTCATGGCTTTAGGACTTTTGCATGCCAATATTAACTCATTGTCATAGCGCCACCTACTGATCAGCACGGACGTAAGCAGGATTCTATAAATACAGCGGCCCAAACACTGACCTTATTGAAAGGGGTTGTGGGCACACCATGAGAAAAGAATGACTTCTCTGATCTAAATATGTGCAAACTAAGATGCTTGGAGAGCAAACGTTAGATAACAGTGGATTTTCAAACCATGCCAGTGGGCATTAGTATAAATGATCTGTCCAGAGCTTCTTCATGACAATCAGGTTAAATGTTATAATGAATGCTTCACACTACAATCTAAAGTTACAGAAGAACTTAAAATGAAATCAGTGTTAAATTAAAGTGTTCAAGTAACAGCAAATGGCACTACTGTTTTGTTAACTTTCATGTAAGTCCAAATACAATCAGCAGGACACTGCAGGGAGTTGAACCCCATCCCAGTAAACTGACAGTCTGTTATGTTACAAACACGGAAGCACATTCACACACATTCATTTTCTTAATGATCTTTAAAGGCTTACATTTATGATTGTATCGGAGGTACACTCTAAATATTTGAGGCTTAAGACCTGGCAACATGATCTTGCTACGCTGCTGGTCTACGCAGGAAATATCTCACTCGTGCACGCAGTGTATGACGGTCACAGAAATGCATGGCCAGAGTCCTGCCAGTACCCTCGACGTGCGTGAAGTTGCGAGGGCCCGGTCAATGCTGCTCGCAGCTTTAATTATTATTATTATTATTATTATTATTATTATTATTATCTCGAATGAAACGCCTTTTTGGGGGCTTTATCATGTCCCCAACACCCAAATATTTGGTGAGCATATCAGGACTGCGGGAAAATTTGATATTTTATGGGTCTAATGCTCGAGCATGACAAAATTGCTCGCTAGCACCCCCTAGCATTCTGACCGGCAACACCTTGCGGCGCCTCTCACCCAGTATGTCTGATTTACTTGAAATTCAACACACATGTCCAGCTCCGCCTACTCTACAAAAAAGCCAATCAGAACCCTAAGCTCCGCCTACCAAAAGTTTCCGCCATTTAGAATTTTTGTGAAAAACACATTTTGGCAAACTCCTCCTACACACTGGGTCTGATTGGTACCAAATTTGCTGTGGATCATTATTGGATCTATATAATCAGAAGCTAATTGATATGTCATTGTATTAAGAATATATGGACCAATGAACTTCATAGGGCGTGGCCTTCTACAGCAATATATACAGTATAACTTCAAAACCATATGGCTTATCGTCACAAAATTCGTAGCATATGTTCACATTGTGTCCTGTAACATGCCCTCAAATTTTCATTCCATATAACCACTAGGGGGCGATGCAGTAATACTCCCATTTCTTTGCATTTTTAGGCATTTTTCATCGTTTTCAGGCATTGCACTTTAACGAACTCCTCCCACAGAATTTATACGATCAACTTCAAATTTGGTCAAGATGATCTCAAGACATTAATGATGAAAAGTTACTAAAATGGTCTACTGACATTGAACGACCTTCGTTTTATGTGGCGCCCATGTCACGCACATTTCGTGCTGTTCGCCATGAAAGAGGAAGTTGTTGTAACTCCAAGGTACTTTATTCAATCTGCCCCAAAATTGTTATGCATGATGCTGGTCCAGGCCTGAGCACATTTCCATGGCAACATTTTCACAAAGTCATAGCGCCACCTACTGGCAAAAGGAAATGACAAGTTTTATACTTTGATGTACTCTGACTAGGACGTTGACCAGATCAGTCTCAAATTTGGTAAGCTAAACCATAAGACATTGATAATGCTTCATCGTGAAGATTGTGAGTTGTCGTTAAACGCTGTCATTCGCCATGAAAAATGAAGCTTATTTTTCTGTGACTGAGGATGCTCAACAAGCCTTGGAACTTTGCACAGGTGTCATAGGTGATGGAAATAAATATTTCATATGGCTTTTTGGCTTGACCCTTTCAAATTGCCTCGATAGCGCCCCCTACAAATATTCAAAATCGCAGCCCTAGCACTACGTTTGACCTACATGTATGGAATTTGGTAGGAACATGTATCACATGAAGACTTAAAAAAAACTGATAATGTGATAATGCTCTAAAATGAACAGGAAGTCGGCCATTTTGATTTTTGTGTGAATTTTCCCATGATTTCTAGTCGCTATACTTTAACGAACTCCTCCTAGAGACTTTGTCAGATCCTTTTCAAATTTGGTCAGTATAATCTAAAGACCTTTGCAATTAAAAGTTACTCAAAGCTTTACGTTTGATAGAGTGGCGTGGCCGTGACGTGGCGGCCATTGTAGGTGATTCGCTATTAAACAACAAGCTGATGTAACTCCACTGGACTTGCTCAAATATGTCCCAAACTTGCCATATTTGATAACAGTCATGGCCTGAGGATGTCTACAAGCCAATTTTCACTCAAAGTCATAGTGCCACCTACTGGCAACAGGAAGACAGCGTTATGTGACAAACTGAATCCGATTTATATGACATTTACATGATGTGGTGTATACTTGATGTAGAGCAACACAATGCATGTTTGCGCGTGTTCTCTAGCGCCACAAAGTGGACACAGGAACTGGTGGAATATTTGCACCACATAATTTCCAGCGTCACACAGTCCAAGCATTAAAAATATGTCTAACTTGTGGGCACGCTGTCCGATGGTCGCAGATATTTATGGCCGCTTCTGCCGGCGTCCCGCCAGTACCCCCGAGACGCGGGAAGGTGCGAGGGCCCGTTCATCGCTGCTCGCAGCTTTAATTGTTTGTAATCTGCCTGATGATGTTTGTCATCAGTTACAACAGAGTTCTCTTCATGTGGGTTTACAGCAGTGGTGGGCCGTCAGGGCCTGCAAGGCCTTCTCTGCTGGCCTAAACAGAATCACAAAGTTATATCTATTTTATAATTTAATAATTGTTCTTAAATACACTACATGTATTATAATTTATAAAAATATTTTTCCCATTATCTTATGTTCTCATTGCACAGCTACTGTCTTCCTCAGTTGCTCTGCTTCCAGTGCAGCTTGTTTTAAGTAGAGCTTTTATCCAATCAGATTTCACCTCTGTGTCTCTAGGTAAGAAGAGAGGCCTGAGGCCTGCAGACTCACAAGTGAATCCCTTTGCACTTTAAGTGAATGGGGACGATATTGTTGATTGTCATAGTCTTCAACCAATCAGATCTTTAGTTTGACATGTTGGGCGTATTCTTTGATGTGCCAGAGCCTGCTAGCTGGTCTACAAGTACGTGATTGGTCAGTGGGCTAGCCTGACATGTTGGGCGGTGACAATGCCAATATCTGCTGCCTCTGTCGAGCGGACATTTTCAGCCTCAAACACATTAAAACCTATTCAAGAAATACAACTGGGGAGGCTCGACTGTCTTCACTGGCGTCCATGAATCAAGAAGGACTTCTTACTGGAACTAAAACGCACGGATGAACTGAACAACAGTGAGATTAAACTCTTTATTAACAAAGAAAGGAGGAACAGCAGCTAAATAGTGAACAGCAGCTCTGGTAAGTTAAATGCGTTTGTTTTTACATCTGCAGTAGCTTTAATATGCTTGTTTTTATGAAGATTGGATTTTTGTTTGGTTTAATATGTGATAGGAACCGTTGTTAAGTCCAGTGTTGCTCTGGGGACATATTTAGCCGGTGCCAGTGTTGGCAACCTGGCGACTTTCTCGCTAAATCTGACGACTTTCTAAACCCTCATGGCGATTTTTTTTTTTTGTCAAAAGCTACTAGTGACAAATCTAGCGACTTGTTCTGGTGTTATTGGAGACTTTTGTGACGTTAAAGGACTACCGTTCTACAGTTACTCTCGTGAACGAGCAGCGGGTGCTGCCCCTCCGCCGCCCCAAAGCTCACAGGCGGTAACTCGCGCAGCAGTCCCAGCTGCAGTCAGAGCAGAGAGGAGACGCACTCCCGGCATATTCTCTGCAGATAGGTGTTGGCTTCATTTTTACACGAAACAAATAATAACAGCCGGGCTGGGAACCTTGAAGCAGCCGGGCTACAGCAGCAGAGACCACACCGGGTGCCACTCCTGTCAGCTAACAACAGGAAACTGAGGCTACAGGCTCACCAACATGTGACAACAGAATATTGAAAAACGTTGCCTGGTCTGATGAGTCTCCATTTCAGCTGCGACATTCAGATGGTAGGGTCAAAATGTGTTGTAAACAACATGAAAGCATGGATCCATCCTGCCTTGTATCAACGGTTCAGGCTGGTGGTGTAATGGTGGGGGGTATATTTTCTTGGCACACTTTGGGCCCCTTAGTACCAACTGAGCATTGTTTAAACGCCACGCTTACCTGAGTATTGTTGTTGACCATGTCCATCCCTTTATGACCACAGTGGACCATCTTCTGATGGCTATCTCCAGCAGGATAATGTACCATGTTACAAAGCTCAAGTCATCTCAAACTGCTCTCTTGAACATGACGATGACCTCCACAGTCACATGTTTTGGACCTTTGCACAAGGAGATTTTCTCAACCAGGACGTTTTGGAATTTGAATTCAATACCCCTGCTATAGTCCCCAGGAGGGGACTATTGGATTTCAGCCAATCACTGAGCTGATACTGGACTTTTGAAACACTTTGGACTTAAGAATCAGATCACTCGAAGCCTTCGGACAGATAACTAGCTTGGCTGGACTGTGCGGAGGAATTTGTTTGATCTCTGCTCCTAGAAACATATTCTATCGATAGAGTAATTCAGTTTGTAACTGTCTTAGCTTCTGTTAATTATTAAATACTTTTTTGATTATAATCCGTATCCAGCTGATTTTTGGTACGACTCTGCTGACGAAAGATAGCAGCAGCGGGAGACCATAGTTCAGGGAGAGGTTCTGGACTCAACACTATACAGTACTTATAAACAATAACTTAAAAAAGAGTTTTTACTGTACATATATACATGACAGCAGTCACTGATCTTGCCAAGGTTTTGTGTCTTCATGTATTGTAGTGTTCAGGCACATAAGTCAGTATGAAATGTATATATTTGTCATTAATTTCCCTCTAACCATTATGCAGTCAAGACACATGTCAGTAAGAAATAAACAAATTTGTTTTATTATTTTGATAATTTGGTAATCTATTTTTCTATTCAAGTTGTAAGAAATATACTGTAATCATTAAAGTCCAAATGTGCAGGGCCACAATTTGCCACTGGGTTTTACATTTATGGGCACTAGTTTGCGGTAACTTACTGTATATGCTTTTCCAAGTTAGATTTATTAGTTATCACTCTGGTCTGTTTCTTGTGCTGCTTTAAAGCTAGATATAATAACAGTTCGTCTTGTCTTCTTTAAAATGAACACAGTCATTGGCTATTATTTAAAATATCATAAAATAGTGAAAAATGTCCATCTCAATTTTCAAAGCCCAACAGTCCAGTATCCAAAGATATTCAGCAGGAAATCTTTGGAGAAGCTGGAACCAGATAATTTGACATTCTTAATGAATGGTAAATGGACCGTACTTGCATAGCGCTTTTCGAGTCTTCCAACCACTGAATGGAAATAATTAATTGATTACTGAAATGTTAGATTATTTTCTGGGACAACTAATCTATTAATCAACTAACCATTTCAGTACAAAGAAGAGACACAAGGTAAGACATAGCGGGTAAACAAACCTCATAGTTGCCAGCATCGTATTCCAGTTTGGCCAGAGAGGTGTGGTAGAGGTAGGGCATGTCTGTCCGTCGACTCAGGAACACAAGGACACTGGCTGAATGAGACAGAGGCCTCCAGTAAACCTCAATATGATTCCCCTGTGCAACGACACACAGTCACACACACCTCAATACAAATATGAGACTTTTTTTACAATGCTTAACTGTGACCTTGTTTGTTTACTGTAACTAAACGTATGCCTCAATAATGATGAGGACCTTTAACAGGCGTCTTCCCTGGATTCCCATGGAGTCCTGGTTTATGGCAATGGCCACTTTGTTTTGCAGGATGGCCCTTGCACAGTTGTCCAGGTTTCGGAGGTCATTAGACATGATGAGAGGTGCAGCCATTATAGTCCACAGAGCCATCTGAGAGCGAGCCTGGTCCACACTCAGACCAAAGTTTCCAATGATGAGCTGAGGAGAGATATCACAAGTATGGAGGCAATGAATATAGAGCAAGACTCCCACTCTTTTCCAGACGTCATTGTCCAGGACTTTTCCAGCAATGATCTAGCTGGTATGACAGACCGGCTTGGTGCCATACACTAATATGTTCTATGTTGAAATCTGATTTAAGAGACATGCAGTTAATAGCTATATCTTATGCTTATAGCTTATCTATGAAATAATCTCTTCCATGCTTAGAAATTATGACAAATTGAACATAAAGTAATATAATAAAACCTACCACAGTTAGCAGCCAACAGTGACTAATATTTACACTTAAAGGATAATGTAACTTACGGTATTTAGAGTTAACTGCATGTACTACTAGATAGATAGATGGGTCATTTATTAATACCGCGAGTGGCCTTTTTTGTCACTACAGCAGCAATTATGGTACAAGTAAAAATAACAGAGTACAAATTGTAAATATCAAATGCAAATATCAAATCCACAATATATATAATGAAATAGAATAATATTAAAATAGCTAACTAAACTGAACAGTAGTGCAAAGATTTAACCAAACAACAACAGTGTAACGGTGTTAAGTGATTGATCTGGCCAGAACTACTATATACTATACTACTATGTTCACAAAGTTTCCACAACATACCCCGAGAGCAGTTCAAAATACTCTCGTCCATAAACTACCATTTGAACATTAGCATGATCCTGAACATAACTTTTTCCTTTCAGATGCTAATCTTATTTGTTTTGGGGAGCTCTGATAGATAGCCTTGTAGTTCATTCATTCTCAGCAGAAGGTAAATAGGGGAATGTTGAAATAATAAAGAAACACAAGCATGTTCCAGGACATTTGACTTTTTCTCTCATTATCCATGTGTTTCAATGACTGTAAAATTGGTCAACTGTTTTTCAGGTTTTCCAGGATGCATGGGAACCCTGGTAAGAGGAAGAAGAGCTGAGAAGCAAGAGAGTGGGGTGCTCCTTCACATTACTGCCCAACAGCATCCACTCATTTGTGAAAGCAAACATCACAGTTTTGGAAAAGCTTGTTTTCTTCATCGACACTATGACACAATACTGTTGTTTCAGACTCATCCACCATTTTTGAAAAGCACCATCTGTATATTTGACACCAGAAACCTCAGAAACATAGCCCCTTGCTGCCAGAGGCTTATCTGTCGTCATACATATAGCTGATAAGTATGGAGATTGATAGGCAAGGAGGTCCTCAGAGCGCTTGAACCCTACTGTCAGCGCACACTTAATCAGACAAACATGGAGCTGGAGGTTGTGTTGAGCACAACAGCTTTGTGTGGTTAGAAGGCCTAAACAGTGGAAATGTTGTGTGGCTATTCTCACAGGGAAAGGATGACTTTAGCTAAACTCTGTCCAATAAACAAGCTACTGGTAAGTCAGACTTCTGCATACAAGTCATGCAATCTGACAGCATGAACACAATCAAACCAAATACAAAAATACCAGTGAAGAAAACGTATTAACTATGGTTTGGAATAGGGTAACCTTGGCTGTGAACGCACCTTGAGAGACAACAGTTAGGGTTCTGATTGCCTCTATGACCAGTTGTGTAATGTCGTATGGTACAGGATCAATAATAAAGACCCATCCATCATACCATGTCAGGGTCATTCCATCGTCCGGGCCCCGCGGCCGGCTGCAGATCATCCTGGTTGTTGGAGAACCACTCAATGATGCCTTGCACACTGTCCCATGAGTCCTGGATATCATAGTAATTCCTCCACAGGTGACAGATATCACCCAGAAAAGAATAGTTCACCTGGTAGGACCAAGGAAACAGACCTTAAGTCTGCGAACAAAGATTTTATGGACCTTTTTATGTGTATATGTATACATATATGTATGCATGAGTGTATGTATGTGCATGTGTACGTGTGTGTGTGTATATATGTTTGTGTGTATAATTATGTATGTATTTTTGTATGTGTGTATGTATGTTTGTTTATATGTGTGTATGTTGACTCTGATGGATGTGTAGGAACTAATACACATGCGTGCAGTCAAAATATCATTAGTGGACACAGGGGAAAAGTTATATTAATAATAATAGCTAAACAAAAGTAACAATATGGATGGAATAAGGATTGCAAGAACCTAATGAGTGATGACCAAGGGAAGTGGGGTTATGACAGAGGTGGACAGACTTTCCATCGAAATAAGTTTTTCCAGTTGCGATATGTGTGGTATTTGTGATGTTCACAGTCACGCCACCTTGTGGGAGGTACAATATATAGACAGGCAGTCAGCAAGACCGCATGAACAGTGTGTGTACGAGCGTCCGAATAAAAGCCTGTTGCAATACATCAAGTCGTTGTTCATCTGGTGCATAACTACACTACAGAAACATTACATTGGCGATGAGGAGTAAAAGGAAGGACTCAAAGAGTCGACACAGACACCGCGTTTTTCCAGAAAGAAAAAAGAGGGGAGAACTACGGACATGCAGATGAGTGTGGCTAGGCCAAGCTAGCTAAGCTAACACAGAAGCGTGGATGGTAGTCGGCACAACGCAGCAAGCATGGCAGGAAACACTGCTGCTCTCCCTCTTTTCGACACCGAAACTGACCCTGGCTCTGTCGGACCTCGCTGGAATAAATGGGTGCAAAGGTTTGAAAATTACACCACTGCAATGAACATTTGCGGAGATGCTAGGCTCAAAGCGTTATTGCTACATAAAGGAGGAGAACGAGTGCATGATAATTACGACACATTAGCAGTAGAAGATGACGAATATGCAGACACAGAGCGGAAGTTATCTGGAGAAAATGTGGACAGTTATCCCACTAGGCTGAGGATGTTAGCTAAGAACTGTGAATTTGCAAGTCTCGAGGCAGAGATTAAAACGTAAATCATACAAAGCTGTGCATCATCCATATGTACATACATATACATACATATATATATATATATATATATATA